TTTATGTCTTGATTTTATTTTGTTTAGAATGAATTGACAACTGTTGCAATTTTTATTTTTCTAGGGGTTTCTTATTTTTTTATTGTTATTTTGACATTGTTTATTTTTTTTGTTTGACGTATTTTAGAATATGAAATAAAATTTAAATTCAATATTCATGAAAGTGCATTTTTTAACCTACCGTTTTTTAGAGGTAAGTAGGTAGTAAGATATTTTATAACTATCTACTGTATATGCAATATATACTGAAGTGGATCTCTCCCCTACAACAGCGTAGCCGCATTCCAATGCGACAGTATCCTAGCAACCGGCGAGCTTCTCACGGGGGTTGCCACCTGCGACGCTTGCCCTAGCAACGGAGTCCAGCAACCGGCGAGTTCCCACGGGTTTACTTCCGGTGTATATAAGCTCTCAGTCTCTCCATTGAGATTCATTCTACCCTACGTTCCTGAACAGGCAACACCTCCTCCAAGCAAGCTCCTCGCTGTCCAGCTCTCATTCAACCTGGAGGACAGCAACACGCAACATCTCCTCTAACGAAGCTCCTACACAGATACCTCCTAAAATACGCTACTCACCGAACGTGTCTTCTGAGCAAGCTTCTCACCACACGGCATCTCCAGCATCAGACTGTCTTGCATATAATATGTTTTATATAAGAAAACCACCACCTAGAGTTTCCATCCATCCCATCCTGAGTGCTAGACAACATAACCTCACGTAACCCTACAATACTACACCACGTGAGGTCCTTCATAACACCATCTGTCAGGGAATTACTACACCACGTGAAGTCCCTCATAACACCATCTGTGAGGGAGTTCAAACACCACATGAGGTCCCTCATAACACCATCTGTCAGGGAATTACTACACCGCGTGAGGTCCCTCATAATACCATCTGTGAGGGAGTTGTGGGGTTTCGTGATGTGATGTGGAATCGCACATAGGATGGAGGTGAGAAAGGAAATTCAGCTATGTCGGTTTTCTTAAATAAAATATATTATATACAAAACAATCTGGTGCTGGGAAGTTGCTGTGTGGTAGAGGAGTTACTGTGCAGGAGCTTCTAGAGGAGGTGTTGCGTGTTGCAGGGCTCTCGTGAATGAATCTCAACGGCGAGGCAGGGAGCTTATATACACGTCCAGCGGACGTAGAACGGAAGTAAGCGTCGCCCCCCTTGGTCTAGACGGCGAGGCTCGTCAGAGAAACTTGATGTGAGTCTAGACGGTTAGGCTTGTCAGTTGTAGGGGAGAGTATCCACTACAGAGTTACTACACCACGTGAGGTCCCTCATGACACCATCTGTCAGGGAATTACTAAGCCATGTGAGGTTCCTCATAACACCATCTTTGAGGGAATTACTACACTACATCAGGTCCCTCATAACACCATTGTGAGGGAGTTACTATGCTACGTGTTTGCTGTTCAACACCTCACGCACATGACCTACGTGACCTCCACTGTAAACATTAATCTGTATGTTCGCTGTATGTTCCTTTGCCTTTCCTTAATGAAGGCTTTTGTTAAATCCCCAATGTCAATGTGTGTAATAAGTCATTATGTCCAATGTATATTTTTAGCCTTTGGGCTGCAGAACTTTTTCAATTACCATTAATTATTATTATTATAAGTATGGGGGACCCAATCTAACATTTTATCTTCTATCAAAAGTTTTTTGGGGGAGGTGTCACGGGAACATGCTTTATACATAAATACAGGTTGACAATCCCTTATCCAAAATCCTTGGGGCCAGAGGAATTTCGTAATTCGGAATTTTTCGGTTTTCAGATTTATTATTTTTTTTTTTAACAGGTATTAGCCCACCCGGGCATAGATCACTGACCCACATCAGGGCCTGGGGGGCGAAAATAAAATAAAAATTATAATAATAATAATAATAATTCATTGGTCTAGGTCATGTTTCTCACTTTTGATCTTTTTTTCATTCTTGTATTTCTTTATTATTATTACTGTATTATTATTATTATTTTGTTATTACAGCACTCCTGTATTATTGTTATTTTTATTAATTTTATTATTATATATTATTATTATTATTATCATTAATGTTATATTATTTTATTTTGGTGTATTTTTATTGAAATTTTTATTTACTATGCATAATTATTATTACTGTATTATAATTATTAATACTATTACATTTTCGCCCCCCAGGCCCTGATGTGGGTCAGTGATCTATGCCCGGGTGCAACAACAACAAATACAACAACAACAACAACAACAACAACAACAACAACAACAACAACAACAACAACAACAACAACAACAACAACAACAACAACAACAACAACAACAACAACAACAACAACAACAACAACAACAACAACAACAACAACAACAACAACAACAACAACAACAACAACAACAACAACAACAACAACAACAACAACAACAACAACAACAACAACAACAACAACAACAACAACAACAACAACAACAACAACAACAATACAACAACAACAACAACAACAACAACAACAACAACAACAACAAATAACAACAACAACAATAACAACAACAACAACAACAACAACAACAACAACAACAACAACAACAAACAACAACAACAACAACAACAACAACAACAACAACAACAACAACAACAACAACAACAACAACAACAACAACAACAACAACAACAACAACAACAACAACAACAACAACAAACAACAACAAATAACAACAACAACAACAACAACAACAACAACAACAACAACAACAACAACAACAACAACAACAACAACAACAACAACAACAACAACAACAACAACAACAACAACAAAACAACAACAACAACAACAACAACAACAACAACAACAACAACAACAACAACAACAACAACAACAACAACAACAACAAATAACAACAACAACAACAACAACAACAACAACAACAACAACAACAACAACAACAACAACAACAACAACAACAACAACAACAACAACAACAACAACAACAACAACAACAACAACAACAACAACAACAACAACAACAACAACAACAACAACAACAACAACAACAACAACAACAACAACAACAACAACAACAACAACAACAACAACAACAACAACAACAACAACAACAACAACAACAACAACAACAACAACAACAACAACAACAACAACAAAGACCCACGAAAAAAACTTTCGGTTTTCAGAGCTTTTCTGTTTTTGGAATTTCGGATAAAGGGTTGTCAACCTGTATCAGTTTGGGGAGTAATGCCATTACGTAACAGCATTACTTTTAAAGTAACTATTGCAATAATGCCGTTACTTGAGAAAATTTGTAACGATATTGGTGATGCCATTACGTCTGTGGACAATTCCAATCGTTACTCATTAATTTTATTTTCTAATAAATCAAAGTATATCAACAGTGGATAAAATGCACACAAATAGCTGAATACAGTTGCCATCATATTCTAACATGTTTTGCTACTGTCACAGTGTCACCCCCTGTCGGGCTCTGTGACACTTGTGCAGTTTCATTAACCTGTAGTGGATTCCTCTCCTACAAACGCTGTTTGTCGCTGACGAGCTGACCCACGAATCCAGCCGCACCTCGTGTCTAGGTCAACCAGCGCCGCCTTACATGACGGAGGTCAACTATTAAGCCACGCCTACCTCCGCTATATAAGACCTGACCTCGTGGTGACCTACCTCTTTCTACCTACAGCCAGTCTTCAAGCAACACCTCCTACTCCTCCTGCCTGGCAGTCCTCATTCCCGCTGGCGACCATGGCGACCCACAAGCTGGTCCTCTGAGCACCCTCACCAACCAGCTCTCTCTACTCAACGCTTGTAACCATGCTGCCTTCCCAGCACCAAGCTGCATTGTACATCCAATACAACATGTATACAGAGAGCACATTGTGAGTTTCCTTTCTCCATCCTATCCTGAGTGTGAGCCAACAGCTCGTACCCCACAAAACCACGAAGTGCAGTGCGTCTCCATGAGACGCTTTTTGTACTGCTGAAGGGCAAGCGTCAATATTGGTGACTCGGAGACGTAGTTTTTGTTACATCATTGTCCAAACCAACCAATAAATGAGCAGATAGGACTAAAAGATGCCAGATTTAGCGATATTTTTTGGGTTACAAATCGAATCACACATGCGTTGGAGGGGGGGGGGGTGGGGGTGAGTATAATGCTATGCATGCAGTCTGACGTGCTCTCCTTCAGTCCATCATTGTCATATAATTTATCAAAATTTTTGTGAGCCCTATCTCAACTAAATTACACTCTTATTTAGCATAAAAATAATGTATTATTATATAGGTTCATAGGGCTAAGCAGTTCAAAAGTAGAAAGTGACTTGTGCAAAACTTTACATTGATTCCTTATTTCATAGCTATTCAATAGCCCATTGAAATTTACAAAATTTTGCTTGTCCAATAGCTAGTACTGTATACTCCTACAAAATTTATCCAAAGTTCAATTATATTAATAGTTATGTGATCAATATCGTGTACATAAAAAAATCATGGTAACAACAACTCATTACTCCTTTAAAAATGTAACAGCGTTACTTTTTATACCGAATAACAATAATGGTAAAGACAACGCTGATACAGTATTTATATTCACTGGACAGTAAATCCTCAATAAATTGGGCTATAATATATTGAAATTTACTTTTTGGGGGACTCTAAAGTGCTCTGGTCACCAGAAATACTAAAAAGAATGGTAAGTACTGTACGTGTATCATCCATAATCGCTGATCTGGCTTAACACGATATCATCAATTGCAACCATGTGTTTTTCTTATCACTGATTGAACTGGGTTATTGCATAATTATCATGGGACAGCGGCAAGTCTGCGAGAGCATAATGTAGTATTACTGATACGTAATTAGTCTTAGTAAGCCCTATTGTGGGTAAAAATAAGTATATATCTTGCTAACTGTGATTGAAACATACCTTATTTAACCAACAACGCCATACACTTTTCCAATATTTGGTTAAACAAAACAATACTGTAGCTTCTTTAAAAACAATTTATTTCAAATTTGTCCATTTATGAATCAAGCTGTTAGACACTGAAATAATATGCATATAACATGCAAATGATAACTGCTGTTTAGAAAGACTTCCATGCCATTATCCTTACTCTCATACCCTTTACCATACCTATATACTTTTGCTTTTACCAACTTTCTCATCCTACTTTTAGGCTCTGTCTTTGGCTTTTGGAGTAACTTTCTGATACAGTAGTTTATTTGTGCCCTTTCTCATGTACCTAGTCATTCAAGACCTATTCTAATTTGCATCTCTTTTGTTAACCACTAACAGCCATGTGACAAAATTACACAAAATCACCTTTCAGCAACCATAAAAAATAATGTGAACTATTACTCAATGGTTGTTGTTCTGTTAGCAGTCAATTAATTTGTCTGAGTGACTAGTAGAAAGTAAGATTCAATAGAAGCTTATACGATGGACATGACACCATAATAGAAATTTTCATTGCAAAGTATATTAGGCAAAATTTTATCAGCATTTATGCAAAACTGTTTAAGTGATTGTAATTAGTGACATGGATATGATGACAGAAGTGCATGATGATTATGTGAAACATAAGGTAGAAATTAAAGTGAAAGTGGGAAGTTTGGCAATCATGACACTGATGATGTAGGTGGCAGACATGAAGGTAACAATTATAATGCATACAACATCCCCCTTTCTGTAAATTCTCTTTTAAATTAGAAAAATCATTCTTGGCTATATTGGATAAGAAATATAGATCTAATATTTCTCAAAATAAAGAGGGGATGATAATAGAAATTATTAAAGGACAAAAGTACAAAATAACACTATCTGTGTGATTAATATATGATGTATATCATAAGATGTATCAGCATTTACAAAGCAGTCAGTTGGTTCTCCAATCAATTTCATATACAGTATCTAATCCATATACCATGCACATGAAGCCTATAAAAAAATATTCTGAAAGCATTTAAATGTAATTCTAAGCATTGCCTGGATTTGTTGATATTAAATCTTTAATTTCTAAGACTTTCCTTATCACAATGGTAAGAAAATCAACTTCACATCAGTATACACAACAGCAGTTAATGAAAGTATTCATGAAAATGAAAGTACTGTACTCATGTAACTACAGTACTAGTTACAAACAACCACAATGCTTGGTGGAACATAAAAAGTCATATACTGTATACAGTATATATAACATACATATTAACATTGTCATCTTATGGGTAAAGAAGTCTGGGTTCATATATATCCCGCCAATCAATTGATTCAACTCTATCCTGTGCATCCTTAGTTAGGTCTACCTCATCTTCCTCAAAGGTCAGGTCAACTTCTTCCACATTATCAGTATCATCTTTCTTGTTCTTGATTTTATCTGTTGGCAAGAGAATCTTAATTAAATTTCATGCAGCTCAACAAAAATTATATCTATCAATTTAACTATTCAATTATCAATTTAGTACATGTACAGTCACCCCAAAAAAGTCCTGTCGTGAACCACGAACCCCGAGATTCAGACTCGTGAACCCGAAGCAGTAGACACTGATACATTATTCTGTCCATAAATGCTTCGGATTCATGAGTCTGAATCTCGGGGTTCATGGTTCGCGACAGGACTTTTTTGGGTGACTGTACACTCCAGGTTTGCACTAAGGTCATTTATTTCTTTTACATTTCTTTAAGCATGGTATGTGCATGTAATTGGATGAAAATAAATGAAGAAATTTATGTAAATCTACCCAAAAATACAGTTGAAAAACTTTACATTATAAAATGTACTACCTACTGTACACTAATATACCACAATTTTTATCTCTTGTGCAAAATATATGACGTTTATATTCAAATTATTCAGTCTTGCAAGGATTCCAGCAATTCAAATTATATTCTCCTAACTTTAGTCTGTGATAATATATAAGACATGTTTGACAGTGAGCGCCGAAGGCCTAGTGAAGTATTTATTTGTTTATACAGGTTGTACCTCTCTAGTCCGGCATTCTGTGGTCCGGAAACTCCCGTGGTCCGGAACGACTTTAGTTTGTCCAATAGGTAGATAGGCAGCTCTTTTCTTTTTTTTTACTTATCTGAATTATTATTATTACAGGAGTATTAAATTTTTGCCCCTCAGGTACAACATTTAACCCTTCAATATATATGAGCAGTAAATAAGTGTTGCTTTCATATTCTTATGTAGAGTAATGACGATATGTTTTCACATGTGCGCACTTACATACGCGCAGTCTCACTTTTTTTTTTACCATTAATGGTTAGCTACTTATATTGTTCCATTTATTAACATTAAATAACATTACAGGTACTTCAAACAACCATATTAATTTTTTTACATTAATTTTACTACAGCTAAAATCAGGGTCTTATTTTCTTCAGTTTTATATGTAGAACCAATCAGTCACTGGTTTTGTAAGCTTTTACATAAACAATGCCGGCAGCCGTCTCATCTCCTCTAATATTCCACATATTATAAATAAATTGTATTGTTAATTTTGCACACACAAACATTAATTCAATAAAAACAAATTCAGAAACATTAATTAAAATATATATGAACAGTAAATAAGTGTTGCTTTCATATTCTTATGTAAAGTAATGACAATTTGTTTTCATGTGTGCGCATGCGCACTTAGATACGCGATCTCTCTTTTTTCTTTACCATTATCGGTAGATACTTCTATTGTTTCACTTATTAACATTAAATAACATTACTTAAAACAGCCATATTAATTTTACTACAGCTACAGCCAGGGTCTTATTTTCTTCAGTTTTATATGTAGAACCAGTCAGTCACTGGTTTTGTAATCAACGAAAACAATGCTGTGTCATTTCCTCGTGTGTTTTAATATTCTACGTATTATTAATGAATTGTATTGCTCATTTTGCACACATAAACATTAATTCAATAAAAAAGACATTCAGTAATAAACAATAATGAATCTTTTGTACATAAGAGAAATGACGCTGTTTACATGATTATGCAAGTCGTCTGCACGTTGGCGGGCCGTTCAAACCCGTCGAAATTCAAGTTTCCGCAGTCAAAATTTTTATTTCTTTATTTTTTTGTGTTCCAATAAAATACGTTAAGAATTAAAAACTCGCGAAATTTGAGAAGCTACTATACGATATTTAACCCTTCAATATGTCTTCAAAGAGACCATGATGCAGAGAAAGTGGTGCTAGTGCTTCCAAGCATAAGCACAAGTCACTATCTATCCAGGAAAAGGGTGAATTTCCATGGTCCGGCACCGGTCAGGTCCCAAGGTTGCCGGACTAGAGAGGTACAACCTGTATATGTCGTTTAGATTGAGTTTTTGTTTTTTGCTTATAAAATTTCATAGAAGTGACCAGGGAGAATATAATTTACATTGCTGGAATTCTTATAAGATAGTGATTAATCTGAATGTAAACATGCAATAGTTTGCACTAGACTAAAATTTTAGTATTATTTTGCACAAATATTAAAGAGTACAATTTTCTTGATATTTACTCCACTGGAAACGAATATAAACATAGAACAGATTACTGAATTTCTGAATTGGCAGACTAGCCCATCAGCTGATGCTCACAACAAAACGTGATGTTCTAAGGATTTTGTTAATCAAATTTTTGCTGGTTAACCGAATTGAAAATTCTTATGGAAGATAATTCGTTAACCGAAATTTCGTTCACCGAACCATTCGTTAACCGAGGGACCACTGTAACTGGAAAAAAATTCCAGGGATAAAGTATTTTTCCATGTTTGAGAAAATTGTCTGGTTACCCGGAAATGCCTTATATCTGGAAGTGCTCTGCAATAATTGTTCCAGCTAACGGGAATATCAATGTATCAACTTTATTGTTCATCATTTTTGACGCATGCAATTTAAAATTTGTTCAAATTAGGCTTACGTTTTGCTCACTAAATTGTTTAACACTGAACCACATTGTTTATATTGAGGTTTGGTATTAATAAATCAATCATTTAACTTCAAAACCGGTTCCAAACTCGTTTACAATTCTTATTGGGAGTTCATTACTGTACTCAGTGTTTACTGCCCTACCATTTGAACCTGGTGTTTGCCTTACGTAATTTGCTGTTATTCCTTGGTTAGCAATAATTTCACTTAACGTTAAGATTTTAGAAATGCAACCCCAGCATGAAACAAGGGATGCCTACCCGGTATATAGGGTAAACATAGAAAATACCTAATCTGTAATGAACACATAAATGGGTTAAAGTTGTTTTATGAATGTTAATTAATACAATAAAATCCATAAATCATAAAATAATGCAACCATTATCACAACAATCCTTGGAGACACCTGCATAGTGCATGCACCAACTAACTGCATCTTCCTCACAACCTAAATTTTTATCATAATTTTTATTGACAATAATATCATTTTTATTAATCTTATGAACTTAAATAACAAACACCCATTATTAATCTCGCATTGTCTGGTAACTCACTAAGCTACCAAACCAACTATCTTTGGAGGGGAAGGGCAATACTTGGTATGCCTGACCCTTCTGGAAGCCTGGCTACAACATGGCTTGGATACAGATTTTGGATCACAACTGTATACTAAAGACCATAAAAATAAATTTGCTGAGCAACAAAATAATTGCATTATTCTATCTCTTTTAGTGTTGTTGTAATAACATTTTGAAACCAGAACAGGACTTTGTGGGATACCCTGTAGAGTGTATTTGTTGTCAATGAGACTCAGCCAAAGAAAATTTACCAATAGTAGAACTTGTTATAAGGATCTTCCACACCAAGTTTGATAAATACTGGACCCCAAGAGTTTAAAGAAATACAGTACTGTATGCTTAATGCTAATGGAACAATGACTGGAGAGCCATCAAGTATGCACTCAATATAGGCTTCGTATATCCAACCCCCAAATTCATATCTTAATACTGTACCTGTACAAAGAATTAACATTGACGCACGCGCACACACACAGACACACTATAACTTACCAACAAATTTCAGCTTAACCATGAGCCCATTCACCTCTATAACACGTGCTGGAAGGTAGTTGGAGTATACAGGACTGTAACATTCATCTAGGCTCAATACTCTCACTGCAATGAATTCCCCAGCTTTTGGAGGGATCTTCATGATTGGGAACTTATGGAAGAAGTTTTCACTATATTCTCCAGGAAGCCCAACATCCTTCAAGTAAAAAATATATATTGACATTAAAAATTTGTACATATTTTGAAGCTAAGTTGTAAAGCATAAAATCCAGAATCCTACATGCAATATATCTAAACATATTGAAAGAACAGGAAGGGTACAATAATTATGTTGTATATAGCAATGAATGTAAAAAATGAGAGCAGGAATTTAAATGAAATGACTAAGTGGAATGTGGTTTATTAGGGACAAGGTAAGACAGTATGAGCATGAATGATGGGCAAACATTTGAATGAAGAAACTTCTTTAATTTTTTATAATACCAGTTGAATTACCCGTGGAAGATCAGAAAATAATGCACAACCATTCCCTAAGCCACTTGCACCTCCCTATCATATTAAAGCTTTCTATCCTGAAAACTGTGCACCAACCTGCAGGAAGAAAGTGCAGGTCAGCTGACTCGCTCCTCCTGGAAGGCCAGGAAATAGTGTACAACTATCCCTTGTCCACCTAGCTTTCTATATCCAAAACTGTGGACTGACCCTCTGATGGGGTCAAGACCAGGGATGCACTGCCAAATTTTGAGGTGCCAGAACTCTAAAAATTTTTGGCACATAATTCATAAATTCATTATTGTTTTTTCCCACAATATGCATGTCAAATAATTGACCTATCGGTAATGTGATATCATTGTCAGTGTTGACCTGCATGGCCCACCAGCTTCTGACTGTAGCTATCACTTTCCAAACCTGAGTGGCAGGTTTGACAAACAGTACCAAAGGATGGGATACTTGGGGTAGGGTGGGGTAAGGTCACAGGTATGGTTACAGTCACATCATCTGACTCCAGCCGGGATTCCCCCTTGAGGCATCACATGGCAGCTTTGACAATGTCAGATAGCACGCTCGACAATTTCGGTTAAATCGCCCTCGAATGTAAGTAAACCATACATATCTTTGCCTTCTGTATGAAACCTTAGTGTTATTAATTCAGTAAGCCAGGATCTCAATGTAAATATTGCCTTCAGATATATACTACTGTACTTCCTCCCTTAAATTTATGCTGATAAGAAATAAAACTACAGTGACCCCTCGGTTAACGAACTCAATCCGTTCCAGAAGGTCGTTCGTTAACCGAAAAGTTCGTTAACCGAAACCATTATTTCAATGGGTTTTTGGGAAATTGGTTCCAGCTCACTGAAAATTTCCTAAATTCAACAAAAATGGTAGAAAAGTTCACTTACTTTGAGGTGTGTATGTAGACGGCTCCTGGATGATGATGATGATGGGATTTAGAATGGGGGTGGAGGAGAAGGAAGAAAAGAAGGCATTGGGGTGGAAGAGAAGTCACCCCATGGTGCCATTTCACCCATAAAATTTTAGCTCTCTTGGTGTAATTCAAGATTATTTTCTTTAAATCAACACTGCACTGCATTATATATTGTCAATATGTAAAATATATTTCAAAATGACCAATAATTTGCTTGGAAACACAGAAAAAAGCGTTTAGTTGAAGAGAGTCTCAAGCAAGATGTTACCTCCAGTGAAAACAGAGAGAGACTAACGCCTGTTTGCTGTGTTAAGAGGCTGGATGCCAATTAGTCACTTTACCTTCATGTTCAATAATTGTTAAAATGACTAAAAAATTGAATATTAAACTTTTAAAATTATTGAATAGTATAAACTTCTTGATATTTACTAAAATAGTAAGGAATTTAAGCCCTAGAACCGATTAATGTATTGGTGGACTGATACTAAAGCTGGTTGCCCGGTCAGTGCAAGCGAAAACATGTTGAGGTCGGTTCGTAAGAAATGCGTTAACCGAATTTTTGTTCGTTAACCGAATTGAAGATCCTTATGGAAGGCAGTTCGTTAACCGAGGCGTTCGTTAAACGAGGGGTCACTGTATCAGTAATTCTACAGCAGGTGTGTATAGGATCCATCTGTCAGTACAGATACAGTCTGGAACCAGCACTTGCCAACAGTGTAACAGAGACTTGACTGACAGCCCAAGTGCCTAACGAGTTGATCACCGGCGAAGAGGATAAAAAAGTAGAAAGTAAAAGTATCCCCAAAGTTGCCTGGTTGGAGGGTTTCACACCAAATTTAGCTAGTTTTGAGCCTAGTTGACAGTCAAATTTTAGCTGTGGTGGTTCTGCTTTCTTTTGCCCGTTTTCTACTCAAGTTGGCATTTTTGGGGGTTGGTTATTGAGTAGCATTTTTATAAAGTTTTGTTTCTCATTGTTCCCACAAGTTACTGAACTGAGTCACATGAGGTTGACTTTGATCATCACTCAGTGACCCAAGGCCACCTCACCCCTGGGTCCCTCCCTCACTTTGCCACCGAGGTGTGGTATGAGAGAATTATGATGCCCTTTTCACAGCAATTTACAAAAACTGGCATCTATGCCTGGCTGGCCGACTCAGGTCAAACCATCATGATGTTGAGATCGCAGCAGAACCGCATATATCTATATTATTTAGGCTTATTGCCATGAAAATTATTGACAGTAATAAGCGTGGTTAAAAAATCTGCTACAATGTGTGAAAAGACCCACTGGTTTCTGTCGGGGCAGTATGGTGAAAATTTTTGTTTAATTTATTTATGTAGATTAAGGTATTTAATAAGATGTTTTTTAAATATACAGTATCTATCATGCCATAATATTGCCAATGTGTGGAAGTCATGTACAGCTGTATTGTCAATTAACAGTTGTTTTGAGACATATTTGGTTTTATTACTTTACAGTACTGTACTTGTTAATGGTATTTTAATAAAATACTGTATTTGCCGGCATATAGGAAGCACTTTTTTCTATCAAATTGTATCAAAAAATTACCCTGCATCCAATGCACCAGTACAGTAAAGTTCTACCAAATATTGTTGGGAAAGGTTTGTGTTTTTAGGTCTGCCTGTCCTTTATTAGTATAGAAGCCCTGCTACCACAGGGAATAATAGTGTTTAAAATAATGAAAAGCAAGCAGAATGATCACAACGTAAAGTAACGCACCAACCATATATTAGCTTAATGACAGAGGTAAACTCACATCATCTCGCTGTACCTCCTTGCCCAGCATTCATAAACCATACCACAAGCCTATATTATGTTGCTTAACAATTGTGCGAACTTCAAGCAACATTTGTATATACTATACAAAAGATCAGACATGGGGTAATAGTAATAAGTAATAGACTATTGCAGGGTTTTTAAAGTACTGTACAGTAATATTGTAGTAATTGTAATATGTCACATATTTTTGGTTGTACTGTAATAATAATATAGAAGCTAAAGTAATAGAAAATAGTCTATTACTTTTCCATTACAAAGACACTTCTTTAACTCATAGGTTGCAAAAAAATTATCAATTAGTACTGAATTGCTGCTGTCATTTAACAGTTTGCTTTGACAAGGGAATAACAAAAACCAACCATAACATGCTTGTTCGTAACACACCAAAAATCCCTGTATATCTGTATTATTTCATTATTCACAAGAATATCAGAGGGAAAATTTTCAGGCCTGAGAGATGTCACCTTTTAGACAAATTATTTGAGCAACTAGTGTTTCTGATGTGCAATAGACATAGTGTGAACAAAGAACTAGATATATTAACTAAATCTACCGTACTTAAGCTAAGATAACCCCGTGTGAAATTGTGAACTAATAGTGTGACATTTTTCCCATGAATTAATAATGTGGCAAATTTTTCCATCAATAAAGTAAAATATAGTACTGCATATATCAAGATCTATATACAGTCCCAGACATTGTAGTGATTTGTTTGAAACAAACATCAGTAACAGTTCCCACATCTTTTTTTTTTTTTACGGGGAATAGCCCACCCGAGCACAGGTCATCAACCCACAATGGGGCCTAGGGGGCGAAAAAATATGAATAGAAAGAAATTAAAAATAGAAATGGAAAAGTTTATATTAATCTACACCACGACGATGCCGGAAAACCAGCTTTTGAAAGTGAAACAGATTGTATGAGTGTGGAAACACAGAGGAAGGCAGAGCATTCCACAGTTTGGCTGTGTGAGGAAAGAAGGATGTACTATAACGGGTTATTCTAGTGTGACCGACATCCACAGAGAAATGGTGGGCACCGCAGGTAAGACGTGTGTTACGAGCCCACGGCCTCACCGGCGGTACACAGGATGCCAAATCCACCGAACACTGCCCATTAAAGTACCTGTAAAAGAGAGTGAAGCAATATTGTGGCGAAGAGAAAGGGAAGAAAGATTGTGAACTAAAGAAGGAGAGTTAATAAGACGAAATGCCTTTGATTCCACTCTATCTAACAATTGGACAGAAGAAGAGCCACCCCAGAAAAGAGAGCACTACTCCAAGTTAGGATGAATGAAACCCTTATATACTAGAAGCAACCGGCATCGCACTGTAGAGTACTAAAGTAGAGTATCACCACCATCACCTTCTTCTCCCACCTGCAGATATCCCACGTCTCTCCTTTTGGCTTCTCTTTCCTTCACTTTATGGCGTTGGTAGCAAACACTTCATGAATTATCTACAACAAACACTATAATGCACCACAAAATCAATACCTCATGAAATACACTGTACTTCTCGATTTCCCTCGAATCTAGCCAATTCCAAAAGATTTTTGCTCCCGCAGTCATTTGTTTATAATAATAAAATAATCTCAATATTATCGAACCTAACCATTGCGTAAAGTTCAGCATATAAAAGAAAATCTCTAAATGGGGGGGAGGGCAAGGCTAATCCATACAATTACCGAAGGCAAGTGTAGGTATTGCCAGTGATAAACCACGAATGTGTGTCCTCACTCCCCCCTCACTAAAAGGAGACTAGTATGGTTTGCGGTAGTACAGAGTCCAGACGGGTCGTCACGAGATACAAGAATCATTCATGTACCATGTGCTGTCCCTTAAATGAGTTGCCAGTACTGCAATTTCCAGTTATCAGTGATATTATTTTGTAGTAACAATTCAGATTAATGTTAAATATGATGATGAACCTAAAAATGCCAAGAATACTTGTACAGTACCTATATT